ACACAGCTAAAGTAGCATGAAAAATCACCCAGACAATCTCCTCACCCCACACTTAAAATTGTGCATTGTCCCCAATGCACACCCATACATACAAGAGGGTAAAAGAAACTCCCTGGTAGGCCAAAGGCCGAAGCACTAGCAGCTCATGGGGTACTCAGACTTCTCCCGGCTTGGTCCTTCGTGCGGGCACCTCACACTTAGTTCCAACCATTTGGTTTGTTGTTGCATCCTTCCAATACCTTTTCTTTCCATGCTCCTAGAAAATAAAAAATTGACACTACAAAAATAATACAATTAAAAAAATAAAAAATAAAAAAAATAAAAGAAAGCAATAAAACTGGGTTGCCTCCCAACAAGCGCTTGATTTAACGTCGCGGCACGACGTGAATCACTTTCCGCCTCCACTTTGAACTTATGAATCGGACCCCAAGTTTTGATTCTGCTCTATGATCATGCTCCTGGGGTGGTGGAACGAATCTGACTGGCCCAATAAAATAATGTAGTATTCTGCACTTCTTGGACTTTAGATGAGGTGTGTAATCCCGATTTTCTGGCAAGAAGAATTCCAGAATGTAAGCACTTTGTTCCTCATTCCTCGACTCCTCAAATGGCTCGGACGACTCTATTTCCATATCATCATCTAAACACAATGTGGAAAAATGCTTGAAGTGAGGACCCATGCGGTCAACTACATGAACATTGGGACTATCTACATTCTCAACACTAATGACAATATAGTCAACTAAATCTGTATCCTCAATATCCTTGGTTGACTCCAGTATCTCTTCTACAACATCGACATCCTCAAAATCTAGTGTGATTGATTGTTGGTGTTCTACTCTAGCCTCCTCCTCTAGCTCATCAGTTTCTGTATCTAATTCATGCTCTTCTTGGATACTATTCACAATATTGGCTTGTTGAGCATTAAAAACTTCAACCAGTTGACTCATGTGAACTTTCAAGTTGTGAATAGTTTCCTCCTGCCTTTCTATCCGCAGTAGTAATTTACTCTGTTGTTCCAAAATGCACTTTGACATATCTTCGAGCTTCTTTAGGTCAGCTTCCCTAGGTTCTTTGTTCCTATTAACTTCACCAGAAAAAGAAGAAACATCAAAGTAAGGGGTTGGGGGAAAGTAAGAAATATAAGCACAACCGTGAAAGTGACCATCTTGACCACCACACATATCACACACATTTCACACATAAGATTGAGTTGGTGCACAAAACTCGCTCTCAGGAATATTTTGATAATTTTGCCCTGGGTGGTTTCCTTCACAATATGCATAAGGAGGATCAAAAGTAGAATTACCAACAACAAAATTCTCATAATTCCATGATGCCATGTTTCTCAAATAAACAAATAAAACTATTAAAAAAAATCAAATAATAAAATAAAAGTTCAAACTTGAAACCTAGCAATATGTACGCCTACAACTACACCGTTAGTTCCCTGGCAACGACGCCAAAATTTGATCACGCCCAACTATGCCTTATAAAAAGGACTAAGCGGTCGCTGCAAATATAATTCGATTTACAAGTCCGGAGTCGAATCCCACAGAGAACTAAGGTTTAGCTACAGCTGTTCACTATCACCAAGAAGACAAGCTTGAACAATTCCTAACTTATACATATTAAGATTCTTGTGTTTAACTACTTAACCAACAAATTAAAATAGTAAATTAACAACTAACGATACTGAGGGTTAGAGAAAAGATTAAGGAGGTCTAGAGTTATGATTTCCCCAATTGTCGAAATCCTCCCGCTATGCCTTCTATAATTTCGCCTAAGTATTCTCTACCGATCATGAGCACTCTTATTACCGTAAATCTCTCCCGAGTAATTACGTCAATTTACTAGACGCACTCTCCCGAGCTACGCTAGCTGGCTTTTAATACAGCTCACTTCAGATCGCACCCAAGGCTTCGTTATCCCTAATCCCACCTTTAAACCCTCGGTTATTGATCCCTCATATACTCTGAGAGTGTTGTTGTTCAACAATTATCTAAATATGCACTCTCTCCGAGTTATGCATACTAAATAGGCACAGCTAATTGAGAGCTCTTCAACCAACCACAATATAAACATAGTTGAACAAATAGAGAAAAGCTATGGTTCAATTATATAAAAACATAACAAGAATTTATCCTACAAAAGGTTCTATCAAAACTCTAGATAACAAATTAGCTTTTCATAATAGTATGTAAAAATACAATACTAAAAGTCATAACCAACAATGAAAAAAATAGGAAGAGGAAGGAAAAACTCGTAGAAGAATTCTCCGCCTTGCTCCCAATGTGTTCTTGCCTCCTTAGGTCGAATCTATGTCTCAAATCTATCCCGTGTCTTTTCTTGGCCGACTTCCTTGGTTTAATATAGGGTTTAGGGCTTAAAATCTCGTGTGTTGCACATAAGTCCCTGAAATTTCCGCCTCCTGCCGCGGTTTTGGCGCGGTCGCGGTGGAACCGCGGCCAAACATGCCCTCTGATTCTTCAGTTGTCCGCGACCATCTTCTACCGCGGTTCTGCCACGGGCGCGGTGGAACCGCGCTTTTTCACCCTGTTTCGTTTGGAATTTGGAAAAACGTAAAACATGAAAGTTGTAGCCCTTTGAGTTAGCTTTCCAACCATATATTGTGGAGCCAAAATGGAGTTCTGAGCAAACAGTTATGTCCAATTAACTAGACAGTGCGCAATATGCCTCATCGAGTCTTCGTTTGTTCTCAACTATCAAATTTGACCCCCGAACACGATCCGGGCTTAATTCCTTGAGCTTTTACTCAGACTTCAAAGCTTCAAATCACTAAATTCATTCTATAACATCTATATAGCTCGGAATCACACCTACAAGGCATAAAACACACAATTAGTGCAAAACACTAGCGATTACAGCGCAAACTCAATTAAAGTGCAGTAAATTCGAGTGTAATAAGCGACTAAAATATGCAATTATAGCCTATCATCATTCTACATGGAGGAACAAAAAGGATGACTAACCAAAAAAAGTTGAATATTCGTTGCTTTGGGGATATATTAGCAGACTAGCGTACAAGATAAAAAAAATTGGGAAAGACCCTAAATTAGGATTTAAATCAATAAAAAAGGTCTTGACTTTTAAATTTAATACATTTCAATTCTTTTTTAAATTTTTTTAGTAATTACAAGCTGACTTTTGAGAATTTAGGTATTATATGAACGACTTATTTAACAAATTTTATTTTAATTTGAAAAAGTCTCTGGACTTACGCCTCACTACAAAAATAAGCCTCAAACGCCCTGGCGCACGCCCCGAATTGCTGGGCGTACGCCTCTTGAGACTTTCGCCCTACACCATCGCCTCGGGGCATTTTTGGTGCGCCTCGCCCCAGGGCTCATCCCGGAGCTCGCACCGAAAACGCCTTTTAAAACACTCTTAATTAAGTTAACCGGGATCTAAGCACTTAAGCATGTAAAAAATTACATTTGTTTTCATGTAAGTTGGCGGACAAATATCCTTTATAAATTAATAGTTTATCGGAATATTGAAGCTATCGAAAACAGTCTCTCTGCTCTTCCAGGGGTAGGGGTACGATTGCGTACATCTTACCCTCCGCAGACCCCACTTGTGGGAAATTACTGAGTTTGTTGTTGTTGGATGCAAGTTGAGTAACTAGAGATTCAAAAATAAAACAATATTCTACCTATGGATATGCTTTTTATTTTTTATTTTTATGTAGACCGGAAGGAGATGGAAAAGAGAGTGTAAATAAAATGTAAGAAAATGGGACAGAGACTATCCCTATTTCCTTTATATTTTGGCATATTCTTAAAAACAAAATTCACAATCACAGGAATTGCTGGTATTTATACATATGGAAATAAAAAGACATTACTTTCTTTTTTTGTCTCATTCTTTAAATTATTTTTAAGACAACGTAGCTAACTTCAATCTAAGCTGTATGAAAACCAGAGAACATTGGTTGGAAACAGTCTGCATTAACATGTTTTTTATTACTTTGAAAAAGAGTTCAACTTCCATGCTACATTACAGGCAACCCTGTCAACCAAAAGCAGAATTATGCTAGGTTTTTTGGGTTCAACTGAATTCATTATTTTCGACTCAAACAAATGTGTACATACGCTATGCAAAAAAAATGTAAAAAAACAAATATACAGTGAGATCATGCTCATTGTGATTACAGTGGCTCTAAATCATGCTAAATCCTGGATTCGTCTCCGACATCAGCCATTTGATTTGCAGCATTCAGCCGCCAAGAATTTTCCGACATCTAAAGTGGCTCTCTGTCCCTTAAGACTGGTTCCTCACTCATGACACAATTTTTCTTCTCTTCTTATCACCAAACACCAAGTACCAAGAACTAAGCTGAACACTGACATGAAGCATTACACATTCAATTATTGGTTCGGGGCACTCGTGGATATCATTCCATCGAAGTCCTGATTTCCAGCTACAAGTAGCTTCCTTCTTGTCAGAGATGTCCACAGCAACCAGACGAACACTCAAAAGTAAAGCACTGCATTCTGTTACCATTTTCAAAAACGTAAAGCACTGTGTCCTCATAGCAGATGCAAAACTCTAGGAAGGTGATGAACAGTGTGAGCTTTTTCTGATACACCCAAAATTCACTCTGATAAGAATGGACATTGGGCCTAACTCAACCCCAAAAGCTAGCTTGTGAGGTGAGGATTGCCCAAACCATATAAGGAGACCAAGGACCTCAACTCCCACCGATGTGGGACAACTCAACACCCCCCCTCACGCCCAGGCCTTTGGAGCGTGGACAACATAAATGGGGGTCCAACATCGGTAACAATAATTGGGATGGGTCTGGCTCTGATACCATGATAAGAATGGACATTGGGCCTAACTCAACCCCAAAAGCTAGCTTGTGAGGTGAGGATTGCCCAAGCCATATAAGGAGACCAAGGACCTCAACTCCCACCGATGTGGGACAACTCAACACAATGCAGAAACATTATTCAGGGAAGTTGATAACTTCAAGTTGAGTCAATAAGCTTAACATTCTTACTTATAACGCAGTTCCTTGACATTGTCTTTCAATACAATTTCTTAGTTGACTAGTACAAAGTTAGCTGTCAATATTGGACACTGCCAAATTCATCACTTGAAGTTGATCTGATGGACTTCAATTATCAACTGATAACTCATTAGCAGCTTCTTGACTGGCATAATATGACCTCACCTATAAAACAATGGCTAGGGCCGGCAGCAGATAAGAGAATGCAAACTTTACGCAACACTTTTGATTGACCTACTTTTTTCTAAATAAGCAGCTATTCTCCTTCATAGATTTATCAACCGAAGCAAGTTAAGCTGAGGTATGAATGCAAATCAAGTGTGAGAAAGCCGGGAACCATCATTCTTGTTGCTGCTGATTGCAGATGTGATTCACATCCAGAACTGCATAAGAAGCTAATATTACTGAATTTACTTGCTTCAGCAAGACAAAAGTTGCTATTATGGCACATATAAAACATAAAACAGAGATAAACAGTAGCTACATAGCTGCTACATATAAAAAAGTTGTGCCCTTCTTCAAGGCCACATAGCTGCATCAATTAACTCCTCAATCACATCAATCCATTACTTCAATGCTTTGATTATATTGACTTTTAGCTAGGATTGATCCAAAGACAACATGCAAATTCAGCTAGAAGCAACTCGCGAGCCACAATAACTTAGTAAAACATTAGCAAATCAAAAAAAAAATAACTTAGTAAAACATTACACTAAGCTACAAACAAAAACCTATAAAAATCTAAACTTGCGGAAAGAAAAACCAGGGATAAATACCTTTGAATATGTCAAATATCGTATGTAAGATGTTATCATGAAGCCTCTCGCTCACACACCTTTGCAGGCATAACAAATTTTGCCTGTGGAGGAACCCAATCCCTGAAGCTTATCATTGGCACTGAGAAGTTCAATAAAAGAAGAATCATTAGATGGGAAACAATATACTAGGTTCAAAGATTGCTTCTTTCCGTGACTAAAAGGAGTACTTGACAAGGCATAAAAGGGTTTAGTGACTAGTGAGATTCAGCAGGTAGTTGATTATTAGGTTCGTGAAAAAGCAAGAAAAAAGGGAAATGTTATTTTCTGTTCATCTCATGAGGGACAAATGCCTGAAGATGATATATCACTTGATCTATTTATTTCCCCTAAAGCATTGGTTCAACAAGAAGGTAGTACAATGTGGGATGTCTGATAGGCGTACATTACGAGTTTGATCCTGACGGGTGCACAAAGTTTGGTATTTAAGTGGCGAAAGGTAGATGTGTGCACCCATTATCCACCAAGTTTCGAACTTAGAAACAATAGAGTTACATCACCCAAAAAACAGAAAGGACTTACAAAAGAATAGCCTATTCCCATGATCACATGAACCGCATAACCAAGGATAACTTTCTACTGTTTCAAGAATGAAAAAATATTAAGGGGAAACATGAGGCTATCCATGGAATAACAACACATACTGATGTCCTCTAAAAACTTTAAATAAGAATTAATTACTATAAAATGTGAAGAGAATAGCTACGTCTACAGCACTAGAAACTTTCTGAGATAGTACCTGCTGAGCAGAATCCAACTGAAGCTTGGATAAACTATTGTGAAGCTTGTTCAACAATTCACTGCATGGAATGCTAAATACTTCTGATTTTTCTGCGGAGAAATTTGGCAACAGCTCTGCCACATTGACATCTTCAGATATATTGCAAAGACACGTCAAGATTGTTGAAGTGAGTTTTGAGTCCAGATCAATGCCCATAGCAGCCATTTGGTTAAGCAAATCAATAATTTCTCTAGTTTGACCATTCAAGCTAAAGCCTTTCAGTAAACAATTATACACAGAGTTATCCGGTGTCAGGCCAGATGCATTCATCCTCTCATATAAATTCTTTGCCTCATCCAACAGCCCTAGTTTTGATAACCTATTTATTAATATGGAATATGTGAAAGCATTTGGATTCAAACCCCTATCAAGCATATGAACAAGTAACTCTTTAGCAGATTTTAAGTTTTTTGCTTTGAGCGTTCCATCAATGATAATATTGTATGACGCAAGATCTGGCTCACAAGTGCCATCTAACATCTCTTGAAACAAACTCCTAGCTTGTTCCAAGCTACCCTCATTGCATAAGCTTTCCATCAAGATGTTGTAATCAATCACGGTTGGGCAATATCCCTTGTTTCTCATCCGAAGAAACAAACCTTTCGCGATATTTAGTACATTCAACTCACAAAAACCATCAACCATAGTGCCATAGGTCAATGAGTCTGGATTAAAACCCAATTCATTTGCCTGCTTCAAGAGTTCCATAGCTTTAACAACATTGTCTGCTTTTATGTAAGCTCCAATAAGCGCAGTAAAAGTTCTCATGTCAACCAGTGTCTTGTTAGCAACCATCTTCTCATGAATTTTGGCAGCATTACTTAGATGTCCTTCTTCACAAAGCGCTTGAATCAGTACATTCATTGTCGTAATGTCTGGCTGAACATATGTCTCATCAGCTAACATTGAATTAAAAAGTGTCAAGGCATCGTCCACCTTCCCATTTTCACAAAGTCCTCTCACCAGTGTATTGTACGTAATTAAGTCAGGCTTCTTGCCCTTTTCTATCATCTGCTGCAGAATGTTAAAGGCATCAGAAAGTAACCCTTCCTTGCAAAGTCCACGCAGAAGAATATTGTAAGGTATGTTTCCAGGCTCTTCACCCTTTTCCACCGTCAATTTAAACAATTCCACTGCTTTCACGGCCCTACCACCTTTGCAAAGCCCACTAATCATACTGATAAATGTAATGACGTCCGGCTGGATTTTGCGCTTCAGCATATCATCATATAACATAGTTGCTTCTTTTAGTTGGCCCTGCTTACAATAGCCATGTAATAAACAAGAATAAGTAACCACATTTGGGGAAATTCCTTCCTTCAACATCTCATTCAAGAGATCTTTCCCTCTATCAACACATCCTTTGTTGCAAAGTCCATTTATGAGTGAACTATACACTACAACATCAGCTTTCAAACCCTTAGTTGTCATCTCCTCCAGCAATCCCATAGCTTCATCCAACCTTCTCTCTGAACAAAGACCATCTATCAAAATGGAATAAGTAATCATATTGGGAGCTACATTCACCTTTTCCATTCTACTCCTCAAATCTAAAGCCGCCTCCAATTTCCTCTCTCTGCAAAGTCCTTTCATAAGGGTGTTTAAGCTAACGACATTAGGAGTCACTTCTTTCATATATAAACACTGAAAAACTTCTACAGCCTTAATAGCCATACCATTTTCACACAACCCTTTCAATACAATATTAACAAGGTAATCATTAACCCTGAAACCATACTTCAAAATCAACCCCAAAACAGAAATCGCCAATTTTGGCCTTTGAACATGCACTAAACATTCAGTCAAAGCAGCCAACGACAAAAACCACGGGGATATCCCCACCTCTCTCATCCTACCATACACCTTAAAAGCCAAGCTGTACTCCTTATTCTTTGCCATTGTTGCAACAAGAAAATTGCAAATAAACTCGGAAGGTATTCGACCCGAATTAACCGCGTCGTTAAAAAGTTCAAAAGCATTAACATACTGAGGATTTGGCTTTTCACAAAGACCCTTCAACTCTGCATCCAATGCTTGTACATCCATTGTAGCATGTTCTGTAACTGCTTTTGCACAATAATATTTCACAAAACTCGCTTTTGGGGGGTTAAGAGCTACTCGGAAACAATGTGAATTACGCTTTTTGCAAAGCCACTTTAACTTTTCATCCAATTCTTGAACATGTGAACAACCTGCAGTAGCAGCTGTACCTCTAGCTGGTACTGTTGTATACAAGTTTTTCACAAATATTGCTTTCTGGGGGTTAAATGTTATTCCAAAACAATGAAAGTTAACATTGTTATATAGCCAACACTTCTCATCCAACTCTTGAACATTTTTTGAACAACCGGTACTAGTAGTTGTACCTCTAGCTTGTATTGTTGTACACAAATGTTCCCAAAAAATTGCTTTCTGGGGGTTAAAGGATGCTTGAAAATAAACACAGAAGTTTGATGATTGCTTCCTAATCATAATTTTATAAACTATATATTAATATATTATATGCTTGGTAAGGATGGTCGATAAAGAAGGATATTTACGTCATTTCAGCTAGATATTTGAGAGCATGAAGGTGAATACCTAGGTGATGACGAAGGTGGCGAACCGGAAAACTTGCCGCCGGCGGTGGATGTCGGAGAGGCGGCAACCGGAGAACGGGAACTTCTCAGTGATTCTATGAAAGGGAAGTTCGAGGTTCTATCAGAGATTTTTGCACGTGCTGCAAGTGGAAATGTTAAGTAGATAAATATGAAATTTGACCCCCAAACTTTGATAAATGATGTAACAGCAACCGAAATTTCCTGTAATTAGGTTATTATTTTATTTTGAAACTTGGTGTTCATACCAGCACTAAGGCTGTGGCTAAGTCGTCACACCACGTGATATTCACTACGGGAAAAACGCTTTCTACCAAAAAAATTCACTTTCACTATTCGAATTTAAAACGTCTAATTAAGAATAGACATATCTTATCCATTCAAGCATAACCTTTGATGATCTTATACTTGGTCGAATTGGCCAACTTCGGTAACTAAATAGGTAAAATCAAAAAAGTTCAATATTTAAAAACCACTCCACATTGTACTCATTCGGAAAGTCTTTTTCGCTAGATGACTCGTACGAGGTGAGAAGGCTTTTTTTTATTTGAAAGACGAGCATTGCATTCGGTTCGAAAGGCACGCATTCCGGTATGTTTCAAGATAGGGCCCCACTAGTCCCGCTAGCTTATGAATGGTTTTTCCAAAGGGAAAGCAGGTCGGGCCCTACGAGCGGGCATAATTTTTTTTAGAGAAAACATTCAAAAGGGAAAAGGTCCAAAATTGTCCCTCTACTATTGTTTATTGTTTATTTGTGCCACCTGTTATACTTTTCGTCCATTCTCGTCCCAACCGTCAATGAAGTTTTAAAAATTACCCCTACCCCTACCGTTTTGATACTGTGGCAGCTGACCCCATCAATTTTATCCATATCGGGTGCCATGTTATCGACCCCACCAAATTAAAACCCCGCAGGCCCATTACATTCCCGTCTCCCACCCGTGACCCATTTGCCCACTAAATAAATATGTTAGACCCGTCTAAATTGACAGAGAGGGTCATTTAGTCTGCATACATTCGATAGAAACGGGAGAGAAGAGTGTGGAAGGTTCAAAAGAAAATCCTCTATTTTCAATGTTTAATGTTGTCCAAGGTAAGATTTCCCCCCAAAATGTGAACTTTTCTGCTAGTTTCATATGTTTGTTGTTTATAAATGAAGCATTTTTGTCTTAGGGTTCGCATTTCTTTTCTGTTAAAGTTAGGGTTTTTAGATTATGCTTCGTGGTTTAGGAATTTCACTGTTCTGTGCTCAGATATGTGATTTGCCGTTTAGGGTTTTACTTTGCCTGTGTTTTTGTCATTGTTTGTGTTTGCATGTGACTTTCAACTTTATACCCTAATTATTAGTCTGTTTGTGTTGGTCGGTTAGGGTATATTGGTAGAACTGGTGATATTTGGTTTATTATTACTTTGTTTTAGAAGAACTTTCTCTTGTTTAGGATTTCAAGTATGTGTGGTCCCTTTTGTTTTTTAAAGAATGGTCGCATATGGTTGGTTTTTTAACTGAAAAAGGATTTGAAGTATATTTAATAGCTGACTTATTATTATTTAGTCCCATGTTTCACCTGCATTTACTTTGAAGATGATGCTCATGTGGGTCTCTTACAGATATGTTTTGTGCTTATTTTATTGAGGTGAGACTCTAAGTTTGATACTTTATTATGTGGTCCCCTATATGCATGCTTGTGTCTGTTTCTTTATCATAGTACCTCATTCAATTTTGTTTCTTTATTCATCTACCTCTATACCTTTTCCTTATTCCCTTTATTTATCCCCTTTTTTGTTTGTTCAAGCTTTCCCTTACATGTTTATTTATTATTTCTGCACCTCTTGTCGTTGTTACTGCTTTATGCATCTACTATGGTAGGCTGTAATAACTTTATTCATGGTTACTATGCAGCCTTTTATAAATGGTGCTAGTTGAGTTAGTATTTCATCATGGCGGGGAATGGACTAGTAAGCCATGTCTGACGTATAAAGAGAAGTATGTGCACATCAATAAAGGTTTTGACTCTGACTTGCTCTCTTATGCTGATTTAGTTGATGAATATGATACTAAATTTGGGTATATAGGGGTGCATCAACTAATAGTAAAGGGTCCTGCTGGTAGATACTATGAAATAGATGGGGATGTTGTGATTAGGACTTTATTAGACTTTGCTAGTGAAAGTGTAATGATATTAATTTGTTTGCCGTAGAAAATGTGAACCAGCAATTGATGTACCTAATATAGTCACTCACAGTGAGTCACACACAGTAGAAGTTGAAGTTGCTACTGATTGCAGTGATAATGATAGTGAGAAAATGATTTTGATTCTCCTGAATTAAGTTCTGATGGATTGGAGCAACTTTTTTACAAAAAGAAGAGGGACATCAATGATAAGTTAACTGACTATAAAGAGTTAGATAGGTCAATGACATTTAAAGATATACCTGAAGCTAGGAAAATGATCAACATGTATTCTCTTGCAAATGGATATGACTTGCAGCAAGTTAAAAGTTACCCAACAAGGCTTAGGTACATCTGTGTCGGTGACTGCCCCTTATATCTAAAGATTCTTCAGGGGGTGGGGTGTCGCGCCCCCTTTTTCCTTCGCGGAGTCCGGGTTTCGACATTCATTGGGAATAACTCATTTCCTTATGGGAATTGGGTATTTGAATTTGAAGAATCGCCACCTAACGGATTAAGGTGCGTTAGGGCACCTAGAGTAGATAACTCATAAAACCGGTTTGCGTTACCAGAGACTTAGGTAAGGGATCGAAATAACCTTGAGGGGAAGGTGTTAGGCACCCCTCGCGGTCCACAACGGTGGGTTCCGGCCGAACTCAAATTATGTGAATTAGTCATTAAAGAAACAAAGCACATAAACACATAAAGTTTATTTAAACGAGGTAAAGGGGGGTCCTAGGTTTGTTGACCTATAGGATCACATCTGTACAATACCCGGTAAGCCTTCCTCAAATAGAGGGGTTACACGTGACATTAGCGCACAGGTCATCATATCCTTTACTACCTTATTACCCTCCCCTTGGTCATAGCCTAAAGCGTTCTAACAACCTTAGGAATGTATCCTATGCGTGCATTACCCGTCCCTTTACTTATATAGTCCCGGAGGTATTTAGGACTTCTAGTTAAGGTGGATCTAGACTCTCCTACAGTGATTAAAAGGAGAAAATTCTAGGCGACAAACAAAACACGTAGGACTAGACCAAACATAGAACAGTTAAAAGGCTCACATTAAACCTCCACAAATAGAGCAAACAAGTGCACGTCTCAAACAGCAAATTTTAAATGTTTCAGAGAGGTCCTAGAACAGGATATCTAGGTGGGCATGACAAGCAAAGAATTGAGTTAAGGCAAAGCGTTAAAGACCTAACCAGTTTGCCTACTGATTTTAGAATCTGTTGAATTTGGGCAGTTCACAAATAAGCACAGCATAGTTTCCAGTTTTTATAAGATTTTAATTACCTACAGGCTTGCCTAGGCGGAGATACCCTATAAACATGCTGTCTAAAATGTAATCAGAATCAATTTAAAACAAACAGTTTTGAACTTATTAAGTCCTATAGGCATGTTGGTCTAGGTGCTGAACATTACAGAGCTGGTTTACATACATTTAATCCTAGAACATGATATCTAAGTGTTCAGATTGCTTTTAAACAGGATAGTTACTGATTTATGCGATGTAGACATGGTTTTAAGGCGAATACAATAACAGTCCTAAAGCAGGATCTCTAATGCACATAATGAATGGGCGTTTTTGTTAAGCAGGATTATAGAAGTAATTTAATAACAAAATTTCTAAGTGATCATGATTATGCAAAAATAGAAATTCGTAACAAACGAAGTGATGAGCCTACTACATGTTTTCTAGTATGCCAAACAATCCTAAAGCATGGTTTCTAAAGCAAATAAACATAATAAACCTAAGGCATGATTTCTAATGCAAGTAAGCATAGTAAACCTAAAGGCATGATTTCTACCCGATTTTCCTCACAAAAATCATATAAGAATCCCCTTCCCTTTTACTAATTTCCCCAATATCTGTTTACAAAGATTATTATTATAAACCATAAATGAATTACATAAAAGATATACTATAGGTAGCCTGAAATAGGCCCAAAGATAAAACTGGCAGACCAGGCCTTCAAACAGTCGCAGATGCTATCGTCTCATGATGTCCAATAAGGGTATCCTGGTACGTCAAAGTCCCCGAAGGGCCTCAGGAGCCCCGGTCAATGCTCGCACAAAGATCCTTTTAAATAGAAGAGTAGTTATGTGCAGTGTGGAAGGGCCAGCCCCAGTGTGCCAGAGTTCGGAGGAATCTCATGGATTCCTAGGTAGTACACACACTGGAAGGGCAGAATTTAAGTAATCTAAGAGTAGAAGCGAGAGTGCTTGACATAGTAGTGACAGTTTAAGGAAAATAATTTAGGAGTAAAACAGTTCAGGGGTCCAAGGGTGAGAATAATTTGAAGGTAGAAATAGTTAAGGAGTAAAACAGTTTAGGAGTGAAAACAATAGTTGGAAATATTCTGAAAATAGCAACATAGTCACAAAGCAAGAATTCACATTACCTAGATTTAGCGGAAGGAGTTTAGCCTTGAACTCAATCAACAACAGACAAGATCAATTAGTTCAGCAAAGGTTTCTTATTGTCTTGGTCCATTAACTGATACTAGGTGAACATACAACCTTGTATCAATCATAGGGTAGCATGTTGGGATCAGACAGTCACACATAAAAGCAAGCAAGTTGAGGGCATAGAGACCATGACTTAATCAGGGGTTTATTAGGGATGAACATCTGTAACAGGACAACAGTCATAGATCTAATGACATAGGGGCAGACACATAGACATATTATAAAAAAAAACATAGGTCTAGCAAATAGAATAGGCATGTTGATGACAAAGAACCTACTGATTCATGAGAGTAATCATGCTAAAAACAAACACATAGGTCTAGTTCAAAACAGGCATGTTGATAACAAAGAAGATACTGATTCAATGACATGAAAGTAGACAGGTTGAGGACACCCAAGTCTTAGTTAATAGAAACAGACATGTGGACATATTGAAGACAGGAAAACCATACAGGCCATTGTTAAAATAGGCATGC